TTGTTCCTGCATTGCAGTTTTTGGTATCCTGCTGACCCGGGTCTGGACTGACCCGGGTCTGGACTGACCCGGGTCAGAATATCCCCGAAGGACTCCCAAGAACGCCTGCGGATGCCACGAACCTGAATTACTCATCGGTTGGTTTGTCGTGCTCTCGCCTTCTGGCGCTCTCGGGGGGGGCATGGCGGCCCGAACTGCCTCCAAAATTGCCCCCACGCGGGTGACGCACGCGATGGCGACGTTGGCGGGCCTCTTCCCACAACTGAGCACGATGACGGCTTCCTTGATGATGGCGGCAGATGGAGTGATGTCTATTGACTACGCGCACCTCTTCCCTCGCTCGCGCGTCTTCGCGCAATCTGCGCGTGGAATCCGCGCGGGTCTCCGAAGGTTTATGCTTGTGCAGTCTTGGCCCTTTGGGGGGCCCTCGTTACCGCTCGGCGGCGAGCCCGTCGGGAAGTGAAAACGGGCGGGCCTTCTCAGAAGGCTCGGAAGTCCCGCTGGCCTCCTGACAAGTCTTCCAAGACTTCCCCGAAGAGCTTCGGCGAGCCAGAGAGAGCTCCGGAGAAGCCCTCACGTCTTCTGAGGAGGCCTTCTCTTCCTCCTTTCCTCCGGGCTCGCCACCGCCCTGGCCCACGCCCCGCGAGAACAGCCCCGCCCGTGACCCCGGCGGCACGCCCGGGCCAGGCCGCGCCCGCCCGACGGGCGTGGCCCGGGCCGCAGCCCGAGCCACAGCGTGGCGGGCCTGCGGATGGCGGCGGCGGCGGCGCAGAGGCCTCGGAGAAGAAGACACGCCAGAAACATAGACTTTTGGCGCTCCGTGCGGCTTTCTCTTGGATCTGCGGTGGGCCCCCCTCCCGGGCGGCGCCCCTGGCGCCGCCCCTGGCGCCGCCCCTGGCGCGCTCCGCGCGCCAGGGAGGGGGGTCCAGCGCGGATCCAAGAACTCCGCGCGGACCTCAGAGTACTCCAGATGTCGTAATAAAAGGGAGGGGGTCTGGACGCTCCAAGACAAGCCATTTCAGACCTCCCCCGTGGGAGAACCCTCCAAAACATCGTCCCCAGACCCCCCAGGCCCTCCAAGATAGCCTGGAAGAGACCCCCCCTCCGAAATGAGACCCCCCTCCCTTTATTACGAAATCTGGAGCATTTGTGTGTGTGTGTTGATGCCGCTTTTGCGTTCCCCGAACAGCGCGGCGGACCTGCGCGATGGCGGCGGCGGCGATGCGCAGGCCAGGCGCTGAGGTTCTGCTCTCCACGCGCGAACCCCCAACCAGACGTCTCACTTCGGAGGGCACCAACTATACACCAACACCGATCCTGGGTCCAGGGTGATCCTGGCCAGGATCGGTGTTGGTGTATAGTTGGTGCCTTCCTATCACTGCGCACCACCGCAGGAGGAGATGACGGGCAGGGACGCGGGCTGCGGCCCAGGTGGGCCGCTCGCCTCTCAGCCCCAGCGTCAAGTCGGGCCTGTCCCTCTACAGGAGGAATATCCAGAAGTTGTAAAACAATGGTCTGGGGACTTGTTTTTTGTATTTTCCGACCATTTGGGAGTATGTTTTGAGTGTTTTTTATTGTTCGTCGAAAATTCCCCTGTAGGGGGACAGGCCCGACTTAACCCCAGCGCCCGCGACGCCCCTCGACACTCGAGGCCCAAGCGTGGCGAGCTGCGCATGCCGACGGCGACATCGGCGGCGGCCACGGCGGGCGTTGGCGGCGACGAGAGCGATGGCGCCCACGTCGACGACGACGACGGCAGCGACGACGGTGACGGGTGCGGCGGCGGCGAGGCGGAGCAGGATGGCGATGGTGATGGTGATGGTGATGGTGATGGTGATGGTGATGGTGATGGTGATGGTGATGAGGATCGGGATTGGGATCGGGATGGTGCTGGTGATGTGTGATGGGGGTGGTGATGTTGATGAGGATGAGGATAAGGCTGATGCCGCTGATGCTGATGCTGACGCTGGTGCTGATGATCATGATGAGGACGAGGATGAGGATGATGACGGTGTTCAGAATGAGGATGATGATGTTGCTAATGATGATGCTGATAATGATGCTGGTGATGCTGATACTGCTGATGATGATTGTGACGATGCTTTTCATGATGAGGTTGATGATGATTATGATGCTGATGCTGATGCTGATGCTGATGCTGCTGATGATGAATAGAAGATGATCATTTTGGTGGTGATGATGATGATGCTGATGATGATGATGATGGGTATGGAGACGAGGGTGAGGATGATGAGGAGGATGACAATGACGATGACGATGACGATGACGGCGATGACGACTACGATGAGGACGATGATGATGACGACGATGACGATGACGACGACGGCGACGACGGCGACATCGACGATGGCGATGATGAAAATGAGGATGCGGTTGATAATGATGATAATGCTGATGATGATGTGGTGATGAACATGAAAGTGCAGATGCTGATGATGCTGATGATGTTGATGCTGAAGATGATGCCGATGATGGTGCTGATGATGATGCTGCTGATGATGATGATGATGAAGCTGATGATGATGATGCTGATGATGATGATGATGATGTGGATGCTTATGATGATGATACTGATGATGTTGATGATGATTATGATGATGATGCTGATGCTGCTGTTGCTCATGATGATGAGGATGATGCTTCTGATGACGCTGCTGCTGATGATGCTGATGATGCCGATCATCCTGATGATGTTGATGCTGATGCTGATGATGACGATGCCGATGCGGATGAGGATGAGGCATACGACGACGATGCTGCTGATGATGCTAGTGGTGTTGATGATGATTGTGGTGAGGCGGATGCTGATGATGCTGATGATGATGGAATACATCATCCCCCCAAGCTCTCTCTTCATAGGCTTCATAATGTCTCACTTCCACAGGGAAGTGCCCCGTTCGGGGACAACCGTGTGACAACCTTGACGCGTGCCAACACACCATTTCTCAGGACCTGACGATCCTGGGATTTTCGCACCGTGAATCAACGTAATTGTTGCGCCCTGGCAATCCTGAATCCTTTCCAAAACACCGTTTCTGGAAGGTTGGCAGTGAGAAATAGTGGCAACTCTTGCGATGTGTTTGAAAAGAACGGGCGCGTCGCTAAGGCGAGAGCCACATGTTGAAAAGGAACCGCCCTCAACCCGTGAAACCCTTGCAAATGTTTAAACCGAATGTGCTCGGCGCTATGGCGAAAGCCACATTTTGAGAAGGAGCCGCCCTCAATTCGCAACACCCTTGCAGATTATCAGGACGAGTTCGCACGTCGCTAAGGCGAGAGCCACAGCTTGAAAACCACCGGTCGTCAATATGTGAAGCTCTTGCAAATGTTTTTGACGAGCGTCCGGGCCGCCATGGCAAGAGCCACACTTTGAACACCTCTTGTCTTCAACATGTGTCGCTCTTGCAACTCTTAAATACTTATGTGCGCGGTGCTGCGGCGAGAGCCACAGTTTGGAAGCGACCCGCCCTTCATCTGTGAGACGGTTGGCAGTCTGTAAGTTTTGGCCTCATGCATGGTGAGGAAGTCTGAGGCGAAATGCCCGACCCGCCCTTCCGACTGGACTGGCCTCGGGGTGCGACAGGGAGGAGCTATCCATGAGAAGAAAGAGTGAAGAAGGCGGCTGAGACGGAGGGACATCATGAGTATGTTGCTGCTGCTAATGATGATGATGATGATGATGATGGTTATGGTGATTGTGATGGTGATGATGATGCTGATGATGATGGTGATGATGCTGATGACGATGACGATGATGACGATGTTGTTGATGCTGCTGATGCTGAAGAAGAAGATGCTGACGACGATGACGACGACGATGATGATGATGAGATGATGGTGATGATGATGATGATGATGCCGATGCTGATGCTGATGCTGATGCTGATGCTGATGCTGATGATGGATGATGATGATGATGATGATGATGAGGCTGACGATGATGATGATGATGATGATGCTGATGCTGATGCTGATGCTGATGATGATGATGAGGATGATGATGATGATGATGATGATGATGATGATTATGATGATGATGATGATGATGATGATGATGATGATGATGATGATGATGATGATGATGATGATGATGCATGATGGTGGTGATGGTGATGGTGATGGTGATGGTGATAATGGTGCTGCTGATGATGATGATTATGATGCTGCTGCTGATGATGATGCTGATGATGAGGACGAGGAGGAGGAGGAGGAGGATGAGGATGAGGAGGAGGCGGTCTCTGGCAAAGGCAGCGTTCGACGAATTTTCATTCCATCAGTCGGCAGGTCACTGGAAACAGGCCCAGAAAGAGGCCACGAGGCCGCCCAACACCTCGATCCCTCCCCCCCGTCCGAGCAGGAGGGCGACGGGGAGGACGGTGGGCGGCATCAGGATCGGGATGAGGGGGAGGGCGGGGAGGACGAGCAGGGAGGGGCGGGGAAAGCGGCCGACGGGCCCGCGCCGGGGGAGTTCGGCTCCTCCTCCTCCTCCTCCACCTCCTCCTCCTCCTCCTTATCATCATCATCATCATCATCATCAGCATCAGCATCAGCATCAGCATCAGCATCAGCATCAGCATCAGCAGCATCAGCATAAGCATCAGCATCAGCATCAGCATCAGCATCAGCATCAACAGTATCATCATACTAAGCATCATCATCACCACCATCATCATCAGCATCAGCATCACCATCATCAGCATCATCAACATCTTCATCAATATCATCACCATCACCATCATCACCATCATCACCATACACATCATCATCATCATCATCATCATCATCATCATCACCATCGTCATCGTCATCGTCGTCACCATCACCATCACCACCACCATCATCATCATCATCATCATCATCATCATCATAACCATCATCATGAGCATCCTCACCATCATCATCATCATCACCATCATCACCACCACCATTACCATCAGCATCATCATCATCATCATCATCATCAGCATCGCGCCCGCCAGTGAAGCCGCCGAAGAAGGAGGAGGACAAGAATACTCATAAGAAGAAGGAGACGAAGGAGGCCACGGCGCGCGCGGGATCGGCGGGTGGGGGCGGACAGGCCCGCCGCGGTCCCCGGCCCCCGTTCGCGGAGGAGGAGGAGGAGGAGGAGGGGGAGGAGGAAGAGGCGGATGGGGGAGGGAGGGAGGGAGGGAGGGAGGGAGGGAGGGAGGGATAAGGAGGGGGAGGAGGAGGAGGAGGAGGAGGAGGAGGAGGAGGAGGAGGAGGAGGAGAGGAGGGCCAATGTAAGCCTAAGACGCATCAAAAATGTTGCAAGACACCCTCCCTCCAAGTTCCCTCTTCGTGGGTCCCTACAGTCAACCATGAGAGTAAGGATGGGGCAACTTTCCAAGGCTACCCTTGCATCCTTGCCCCTTCGGTATTCGGCATCCTTCGACATTATGTTGCGCTCCACACGGGAAACGTCAGCATGGCGTTCCAAGGCCCTTGCATCCTTGCCGCGCATCCTTACTATCCTGGTCGAGTGTACAAGCAATCATTGTAGTTGCCTTTGGCCTTTGCCGCCGATGACGGACGCTCCTAGCGGATGTACAGACGTGGTAGAAGCGCCCTAGCGGTCCTAGTGGTTAGGTTGAGCTGTTGTCGGGTTCGTTTTGCGTGTGTGCTCGTTTTTCTGAGCTGGGGCTCTGTGGGCATTATCTAATGGCGTTCGACCCATCCCGCCATCGTGCCTGGGTTATGGGTCACGGGCTTCTTGGATGTTCGTCGGGATGGCTTTGGGGGCCTCTTGGAGGCAATCTTGAAGGCTCTTGGGGGCCGCTTTGGGACCTCTTGGGGCGTCTTAGGGGCCTACTGGGGGCCTCTTGGGGCCTCTTGGGAGCCTCTTGGCGCCTCTTGGGGGCCTCTTGGGGCCTTCTGGGGGCATCTTGGGGCAGCAGGCTCGAATTGTCGGTTCGGGCTCCCCCTAATGGGCCCGTCTTGGGGTTCTCTTGGACCGCCTTGGGCGCCTTTTGGGCCGTCTAGGGGCCCTCTTGCGCCGTGTTGGGGCCCTCTTGGAGGCCTCTTGGGGGCCTGTTCGGCCGTCTTGGGCGCCTCTTGGGGGCCACTCGGGCCGTCTTGGACGCCGTGAAGGCCGAGAAGTCGTTCATAGTAAAAATGTACGCATTTCGACTAAATTTGACGATTTGGGCCCCTTGGGGGGCGCTGTTGGAAGCCTCTTTGGACGTCTTGGGCGCTTTTTCGGCCGACTGGAGGCCGTCTTGGGCATCTTCGCCCGATCGTTCAGCGATTGTGGAGGGCCCAGGAGGCCCTGGGTCTCTCCCAAAGAGGGCCTGGGCAAATCGGGAAACTCCCCCCCCGCTGTCCTGGGGCCCAGGAATTCCGGGGAAACCCCGATCCCCCCCCCTCAGGGCCCAGCAGAGCCACCCCAGCACCCACCCCCCGAGTTAAGCAAAAGCTTCATTTTGAATCTTTGAGGTTCCTTGAATTTCTCATTGAAAGAAATGCCCCATTGGACGACAACCGTCTGATTATCTCCAACCATTCCAGAACTGCATTCCTTTGACCTCAACACTCAGCATGACTGTTGCGTCCGAACAATCCTAAATCTTGCCAGAACGCCATCCCTGCTGGGGATACAACACCATGCATCAACTTGACTGCTGCGTCCTGGCCATCTCGAATCGTGCCAGAACGCGATTCCTGAAATTTCAACCATGCGAGTCCTTGAAATTGTCCAAACTTTGTAAGACGAGTGCTCGCGGCGCTAAGGCGAGAGCCACATTTGAGAAGGAACCGCCCCCTGCACCGGCGAACCAGTGTTCCACTTGTCAGTTCGGATTCTCCCCTTTGGGGCACTCTTGGGAGCCTCTGGAGCCCACTTGGGAGGCCTCTTGAACTATCTTGGGGCCGTCTTGGGGCCCTCTGGGAGCCTTTCGGTCTGACTTGGGACGATCCAGGGGGCCTCTTGGGCCGTCTTAGGCGGTCGGAAGCCCGAAAAGGCGGTGGCTCCAACATCTGTTCAAAACCATTTGGAAATCACATAATTTCGGCCGCTTGGGGCTCTCTTGGGCCTGTCCAGGACCATCTTGGGACTATTTTGAAGACTCTTAGAATTATTTTCGAGACATCTTGAGGCCTGCCACCTATTGATCCCCCCACTCTTGGGCCCTCTTGGAGCTCCCTTGGGGTCCCTTGGATCGCGCCTGGGGCTTCTCTTGAGGGCCCCGAAGGCCGCCCCTGGAAGTTCTGGCATCAGTGGCCCCCACCTGGCCTGGGTTTTTTTCGTCTGGGGACTTCAGGGGCCGCCACGCGCGCGTGAACTAGATATACAAGTCACCTGTTACCAGATATTGCGAAGGCCTTACGGCCGGTGCCGCCGACCCTGAATGGCGACGACGACGACGACGACGAGCGCTCTTGGGGGCCTCTTGGGGGTAGTTTGTGGGCCTCTTGGGAAGCTCTCAGGGACCGCTTGGAAGCCTCGTGGGGGCCTCTTGGGGCTTCTGGGGGTCTCTTGGAGGGGGCCTGGGACGTCTTGGAGGCTTCTTGGACGGTCTTGGGGCTATCGTGGGCGTTTTCGGCCGATCTGTGGGCGACTCGGGGCCCTCCTGGGCCGTCTCGGGGGCCATTCTGGGCATTCGGACCTCATTTGGAGTGTTTTCGAGGCGTCGAGGCCGCCCGAGGGAAAACGAATCTGCCCCCCCCCCCCCCCACCCCCCCGGGACCCCCCCCGGGACCCCCCCCCTCGGGGAAGGGATCGAAGGGAAGGGGCTTCCCTTCGACTCGATTACGACACTGCTAGATTTTTCTCTCGCTCACGAGCTTGAGAAGGAAGCTGCAGGGAAATGGGGCGACGGAGGCGACGACCGACGGAAACGACGACTCGAACAGCCAAGCCCCTCGCACACGCCGACAGGGTCGGCGGATTCTAGCACTGCTCTGCCCACTTGGGCCTGTGAATTATCAAAGCTTGCGAGTCCCTCGCCATCTACAAGGCTCACGAAGCCCTCGAGACACACCATTCGACGACATGCAGTATATGCCGAGCAGAAGGAGAACACCACACGGTCAGCTCGCTCCATCTTGTGCTTGTCCCTGGCATCTTTTTCGAGCACAGCCAGAGAAGGTTGCAGCGAGTCCGACTCAGGGCCCAGGGTCCCATCGGCGAGGCGCACAGCGACACGCACAGACTCCGAGGCCAAGGGCACATCACCTGAGCATAGAATATAACGTGCATCCCAGTTCCAAGCCCAGGGGCAGCATATTTTCCCAAACTCCAGGGTTCGGGACCTGACTTCGCCCAGCTCGGTCTCTCTTTCGGCCCTGAAGGTGGGCCAAGGCGGCCATAGACGGCCTCAAGAAGACGCAAAGAGACCCCAAAGACCGCCTTGACCTGCCCAAGCCGGCACAAGATCGCCCCAGACACCCCCAGGACCGCCCATCACTTCCGAGGGTGGCTCCAAGAGGCTCGCCAAGGTGACCGCAAGAGGCCTACATCGGGCCATCTGCTAACGCTGTGCCGCTTCTTTGCGTCAGCGTCCAAGAGGGCCCACGAGGCCCAAATATCGCCCCAAGACGGCCCAGGAGGCCCCCAAGAGAAAGAGGCGCCCAAGGCGGCCCACGAGGTCTTCAGTAAGAGCCCAAGAGGGGGAACTCGAACCGACATTCCGAGCCCTGCGCCACAGGAGGACCCCCCTCGACCGCCGGTAGGCCCCCAAGAGGCCCCAGTGGGGCCCCAGGATGCCCGCAAGAGGCCCCCTGCAGGCCCACCATGGGCCCCAAAGAGGCCCCCCTTAGAGTTAAGTCGGGCCTGTCCACCTACAGATGGATTTTCGACGAAAAATGCAAAACACTAAAAGATACTCCAAACTAGTCCAAAAATAGTACGGGGACTATTTTTCGAGTATTTAATCGCTTCGCTCATTCCGCCGGCCCGTATTGTGCCATCGCAGGCGTTTGCTTGCGCGTTCGTGGCCTCTTGGAGCCTCGGTGGGGCCGTTTGGGGCCTCTTGGCGCCTCTTTTTAGGCCTCTTGGAGAACTCGGGAGGCCTCCAGGGGGCCTCCTGAGCTCTCGTGACGGTCTCTTGGGGGGCTTTCGGCGGGCTCTTGGCGGTATTTGTTGGTCCTCTTGGGGCCTGGGGCCTGACGTTGTTGGTCCTCTTGGGGCCTCACGGGAGCTTATTGGGGCGTCTTGGGGGTGTCTTGGAGAGTCTCTTGGGGCCTCTTTCGGGGTCCTGGGCGCCTTCTGGGGCGGAGGGCTCGATTTTTCAGTTCTCGGTTCCCTTCTTGAGCCCCTCTTGGGCCCGTCTTGGGGCCTCTTGGTCCGCCTTGGGCAGCACTTGGGCCGTCTGGGGGGCGCTCTTGGGCCGCTCCGGGGCCGTCTTGGGAGCCTCGTGGGCCGTCTTGGAGCAGTCTTGAAGGCCTCTTGGGCCCTCTTGGAGCGTCCGGAAGCGAAAAGGCCAGAACGCAAAAAAACATAGAAAAAACAAATGAAAATCAACGATTTTGGCAACTTGGGGCCCTCTTCGGAGGCCTCTTGGAAGGCCCTTGGAGCGTCTTGGAGGCCTCTTGGGCTGTCTTGGGGCCATCTGGGGCGTCTTCGGGCGATCTTTGGCCGTCTCGGGCCTCTCTTGGACCGTCTAGAAAGCTTCTCGGGGCCCTATTGGACCGATCTGGAGCCCTCTTGGACTCCGAAACAGAACTCCGGCATCTTTGACCCGACCTTGCCGGGACCTTGCCGGGGACTTGCCGGGACCTTGCCGGGGTACTTTTCGTCCGGGGACCCCCAGGGGCCGCCCCGCGCGCGCGAACTAGAAATACTGTTAACCAGGTACCGGAGATCTTAGCACGCCCTGAAATAGTACGGGGACTATTTTTCGAGTATTTCTTGACCTTTTTGTTGCATGATTGGAGTATTTGCATTTTTCGCCGAAAATCCCCTTGTAGGGGGACACGCCCGACATAACCCTAGGGACCCCAAGGGGCTTTACAACTGTTTTTGAGATGCCCCCGAGCGGCATGGCATCTCTGAGTTCGATCCCAGTGATCAATTGGCACGCTTGCGCGTCACTGGTCTCGGGGGATCCAGGCGCTGGTCCGTGTAACGAAGTGTTTCAGCTCCACCCTGGATGACCATCCAGGATCACTTGTATTACTTCTGAGATCGCACTCTACCCCTTCCTGACACATACTGGACAAGGAGTAGGATCAGCAGTTCAAGGAGGAGAAAACTGACGCTGAGGCGGATGATGAGGATGACTCGAAAGAAGACGCCCACCCAGGGCCCCGCCAGGTCGTCGTCCAAGGCCATGCCGACACGCTTGAGCTAATCTGGGAGGTCATGGCTGCCCCTGCGCTGGCTCCTGGGGCCATCTCAAGACAGCCCCAATCAAGCAGTGGCGAAGCGTCCTGGCTTGCCTGTAGGTTCACCAACGAATGTTCTTAGAACCTTTTGGGGTTTGGACGAAATGTTCTGAGAACATTTCTGGCCGAGACTGCTTTCTTTTCTTACATCGGGCGTATCGAAAAAGGCCAGGACGGTCGGTGCCAAGAAGGCCCAAGAGGGCCCCAAGACGGCCCAGAAGCCTCTCCAAGTAGGCCCAAGACGCACCAACAGGGACCCAGGCAGAGGTCCCTCAGACGCTGGGACCGACAGCCCGCCTTCGCGGGTCCCCACGACGCGCCCCAAGACGCTCAAAGGTTTCCCCTTGAGGTCCCCCGAGACCTCCGAACATATTCCACGAGGGTCCCAGAGGCAACCCAAGGGCCCCAGACAAAGTCTCGTTTGCAACCTCGATCCCCCTCGATCCTCGACCCCTCCCTTCTCCCTCCCCCGCCCATCCCTCGATCCTCGACCCCCCTCGATCCTCGACCCCTCCACCCCCTCGATCTTTTTCCCTCCATCCTTCTCGATCCTCGACCCCTCGATCCTCGATCCCTCCCTTACCCCACTCCCTTGCTTTCTCCGGGTGGTTTTCGGGTCTACGAGCCGAGCCTCTCGAGACGACTCGGACCGGGCGGAGGAGGAGGAGGGAGGACAAGGGGAGGCCCAGGACTGTGCTCCGCCTGCGTTTCATCACAGCGCCATGGACTGCGCTAGAATCTGCGCGCCTGTGGTTCTAGTCAGTTGTTAAGGATGATCGGGTACCGATTTCAAAGAAAGAGAGGGAGGACCAAGGGGACGAGCAAAGTGGAGCTGGGAGGACATGACACGCATGACATACTGTTGCGAGGGGGGAGCGAGACACAAGTCTCAATGCTGCGCGCAGGTTGAGGTGCCCATGACGTGTCCCGGGAAATTCAACTTCGACGGCGCGGGCATCCTGGAGATTTGCCTTGTTGGCCTTATTCCCTTCTCTTGTTCTGCGCTCGGGGTCCACCTGCTCCTCCCCCTCTTCCTTCTGTGCCCCTGCTCCTCATCCCCCTTCCCCCTAGCCCCCTCCACTCCTTTTCCTTCCTTTCCTTTCATTCCTGCCTCCTCCTCCTCTTCCTTCCCTCCTCTTCCTCCTCCCTCTCTCCCCCCCTGCCTCCCTCCCTCCCTCCTCCCTCCATCCCTCTCTCGCCCCTGTTGTCCTTTCCCGCCCGTTCCCTCCCTCCCTCCCTCCTCCCCTCCCTTCCCCCCTCCCTCCCTAGCCCCCCTCTCCCTCCCCCCTCCCTCGCTCCCTCCCCCCTCCCTTCCTCCCCCGCCCCTGTCCTCCCTCTCCCCCTTCCTCCCCAGTGAGGGCGAGTTGCTATGAGTAACTGCTGGTCTCGTCTCGGATTGCCGGTCGTCTGGGGTTCTGGGGGCGGCCTGGGGGTTGCTTCGTTTTCGGGCCGCGGGTCCCGGGGGCGTCCCTGGTGGCCGCGTTCGGTTGCCCGCTGGTCTCCGCCCCCGCGGGGGTGGTGGGGCCCTGGCCACGGCCCTCCCTTCCTGGAGGGCCGTCGCTGGGGCGCACCTCTCAGTGGGACCCTCGGGCTCCTCGTCGCCCCTCCCGCTCGCGCGCGCCGCCGCGGCGGCAGGCGGACCTCGGTCCGCCCTGGTCCACGTCCCACGTCCCCCTCCCCTCCCCTGCCCCGCCCCGCACCGCAGGAGCTGCTGCCTACAGGGTGGCACGACGAGAAGGCCGGGGGCAGCTCGCAGGCGGTAGAGGCCGGCGCTCCCATTGGTGGTTCAAATTGATAGGGTCTTGCGGGATGGGGTCCTGAGGACAGGAAGGGGTCCAAGGGTGGAGTGGAGGGTTTGAAGAATGAGAGACGATAGTGGGTGGAGGGGTGATACGGGAGGAAGGGTCATGATGATGGTGATGATGATGGTCGTAGTGGTGATAATGGTTATTGTGATTATGCTGATGATGCTCTGATGGTGGTAATGATGATGTTGATGTTGGTTGTGGTGGTGGTGGTGATGCTGATGGTGACGATTTTGACTGACGGTGGCGACGTTGATGATGATGATGATGATGATGATGATGATGATGATGATGCTAATGATGACGACGGTACTGATAATGATGATGACGACGATGACGATGCTGAAGATGATGCTGCTGTTGATGATGGTGCTGTTGATGCCGATGATGATGATTCCGATGATGCTGATGAAGATGATGAGGATGATTATGAGGATGAGAATAGGGATAAGGAGGATGAGGAGGATGAGGATGACGGTGCTGATGATTATGGATGGCTGGCGGTGCTGATGGTGGTGATAATGGTGGTGGTAATGTTGATGTTGACGATGCTGCTGATGTTGGTTGTGGTGATTGTGATGCTGACGGTAGCGACTTTGATTGTGATGGTGGTGACGCTGCTGATGCTGACGATGATGATTATGATGATGATGATGATGATGATGATGATGATGATGATGATGATGATGATGATGATGTTGATGATGATGATGATGCTGCTAATGTTGATGATTATCATGCTGCTGCCGATGATGATGATGATGCTGATGATGATGATGATGATGACGATGCTGATAATGCTGACCATGATGACGATGCTGCTGATACCGCTGATGATGCTTATGATGGTGGTAGTGTGGATGCTGATGCTACTGATGGTGACGATGCTACTGATATTGATGCTGCTGACGATGCTGAGTTTGCTGATGATGCCGATGATGAGTATGATGATGAGTCTGATGATGCTGATGATGTTGATGATGATGCTGGTGTTGATGATGCTGATGCTGACGATGCCTAAGATAATGATAGTGATGCTGCTGATGCTGTTGATGGTGCTGATAATGGTAATGCGGATGATGATGAGGATGAGGATGACACTGATGATGGTGGATGGTTGATAGTGCTGATGGTGGTGATGATGATGACGGCTGTGCGTGTGATGATGTTTGTCATGGTAATGATGATGACGACGGTGATGATGATGTTGATGTTGATGCTGATGATGGTGAGGATGATGATGATGTTGATGCAGGTGATGATTATGCTGCTGATGATGATGATGCTGCTGTTGCGGATGATGTGGTTACTGATGTTGCTGTTGCTTATATTGATGATGGCGGTGATGCTGATGTATTGGCGATGATGATGGCGAGTCCGATGTTGATGTTGCTGCTGATTATGTTAATTGTTGGTGACGACACTGACAGTGGTGGTGAGGATGACGACGGTTGTGATGGTGATGACGGTGATACTGGTAATGGTAATCAGGGTGAGGTTGGTGATGGTGGTGGTTACGGTGGCGATGATGTTGAATATGATGATGGCCTTGATGAGTATAGTTGTGGTGGTGATGCTGGTGATTATGCTGATGAGGAGGCTGATGAGGATGATGATGCGGCGGAGTTGGTGAGGACTTAATGGAGAATGTGATGAAAAAACGGAGGAGGACGACGAGCCGTCTTGGACGCCATCTTGGCTGTCTTGGAGGCATCTGGGAGGCCATCCTGGGCCATCTTGGCCGTCTTGGGACCATCTTGGGCCATCTCGGGGCGGAACAGGCATTGACTTGTGCAGTTTCCGGGTGGCCGGCGGGACGGGCCGAAGCCCCAGGGGGAGTTTTTTGGGGAAAAAGGACCAAAACCAAAAGCCATATCGTCTGGCACGCCAGGCACCCCTTTGAACATCAAAAGTGGGCGGCGGATCGAAAACGCCTACGGCGAATCACCGCCGCCCCCTGCCTTTTTGGAAGCGCCTATGTGGCCGAACGTTGAGGCCAGACCTGCCAAGCTATCGGACCATGTGTTCCCCGAATCGGTTTGGAAAGCCTTCGGGGAACACGTGGGCATCTTGAAGGTCATCTTGGCCGTCTGGAGGCCATTTCGACCCTTTCGGGCCTTCTTGGAGGACGTCTAGGAGGGCTCTTGGGCCGTCTTGGAGGCCATCTTGAGCGTCTTGGAGACCTCTTGGGCCGTCTTGGGGGCCTCTTGGGGCCGTGTCTTGGGCCTCTTGGGCGATCTTTGGGGGCACTTGGGCCGTCTCGGGCCGTCGGAAGGCCTTTACAAAGCAAACGCCTCAATCCTTCAAACACTAATGGAAATCAATGTTTTGGGCATTTTCGGGCCTTCCTAGATGCCCTCTTGGAGGCCTCTTGGGCCGTCTTGGGCCAGCTTCGAGCCAACTTCGGCCATCTTGGTGGGTTCCAGGTCCGTCTGACGCCGTCGGAAGCCGTTTGGGGGGCCTCTATGGGCCGACTTGGGGCCCTCTTGGAATGCTCGAGGGCCGTCTTGGAGGCCATCTTGGGCGTCTTGGAGGCCTCTTGTGCCGTCTTGGGGGCCTCTTGGGGCCGCCTTGGGGCCCTCTTGGGCCGTTCTGGGGCCATCTTGGAGGCCTCTTGGGCGATCTTTCGGCGATCTTTGGGGGCTCTTGGGCCGTCTCGGGCCGTCGGGAGGCCGAAACGAAGCAAATTTCAAAATGCTTCAAAAACCTGAGACACATCAATGTTTTTGGCATTTTCTGGCCTTCCTGGAGGCCCTCTTGGGGGCCTCTTGGGCCGTCTTGGGCCAGCTTCGAGCGACCTTCGGCCATCTTGGTGGGGTCCGGGCACGTCTGACGCCGTCGGGAGCCGTCTTGGGGGCTTTTCTGGGCCGACTTGGGGCCCTCTTGGGGCGCTTTGGGGCCGTCTTGGAAGCCGTCTTGGGCGTCTTGGAGGCCATCTTGGGCGTGTTGGAGGCCTCTTGGGCCGTCTTGGGGCCCTCTTGGGGCCGTCTTGGAGGCCACTTGGGCTGTCATGGGGCCCTCTTGGGCGCCTCTTGGGCGATCTTGGGGGCCTCATGGGCCGTCTTGGGCCGTCGGAAGGTCGAACGTGTGCAAATGCCAAAATCCTCTAGAAACCTAAGGAAAACACATGATGTTGGCCTCTTCGGGCCTTCCTTGAGGACCTCTTGGAGGCCTCTTGGGCCGTCTTGGAGGCCTCTTCGAGGCCTCTTGGGCCGTCTTGGGTCAGCTTGAGGCCATCTAAGGCCGTCTTCGGTGCATATAGTGCCGTCTTAGTGGCATCTTGGGGCCATCTTGGCCGTCTTGGAGGCCATCTTTGTCGTCTTCGAGACATCTTGGATGCCATCTTGGGCCATCTTGGCCGTCTTCGAGGCCATCGAGGGCGTCTTCGAGGCCTCTTGGGCCGTCTTGGGGCTCTCTTGGGGCGAGCCTCTTGGGCCGTCACGGGGCCATCTTGGAGGCCTCTGAGGCGACCTTGGGGGCCTCTTGGGCCGTCTTGGGCCGTCCGAGTGCCGAAAATGCGCAAATGCCAAAATCCTTCAAAAACCTAAGGAAAACCAATGATTTGGGCGTCTTCGGGCCTTCCTGGAGGACCTCTTGGAGGCCTCTTTGGCACGTCTTGGAGGCCTCCTGGGGGCTCTTGGGCCCATCTAAGGCCGTCTTGGGTGCATCTTGGGCCGTCTTGGAGGCATTTTGGGGCCATCTTAGCCGTCTTGGAGGCCATCTTGGCCGTCTTGGGGGCATCTTGGAGGCCATCTTGGTTCATCTTGGCCGTCTTGGAGGCCATCTTGGGCGTCTTCGAGGCCGTCTTGGGGCCGTCTTGGGGACCTCTTGGCCCGTCATGGGGCCATCTTGGAGGCCTCTTGGGCGATCTTGGGACGACTTTGGGGGCCTCTTGGACCGTCTTGGGCCGTCGGAAAGCCGAAAATTCGCAAATGCCAAAATCCCCCAGAAACCTAAGGAAAACACATGATTTTGGCCTCTTCGGGCCTTCCTGGATGACCTCTTGGAGGCCTCTTTGGCTCGTCTTGGAGGCCTCTTGGGGGTGTCTTGGGCCATCTTGGAGGCCTCTTGGGAGCCTCTTGGGCCGTTTTGGGCTCTCTTGAGGCCATCTTAGGCGGTCTTGGGTGCATCTTGTGGCCGTCTTGGAGGCACCCTGGGGCCATCTTAGCCGCCTTGGAGACCATCTTGGCCGTCTTGGAGGCATCTTGGAGGCCATTTTTGGCCATCTTGAGCGGAAAAGCCGACGAGATTGGGGAATTGAGCGCCTTCCGGGTGGCCGGCGGGACGGGCCGAAGCCCCAGGGGGAGTTCTTTTGGAAAAAGAACAACAACCAAGACCTAGAGGGTTCAGCACGCCAGGCCCCCCTGCGATGAATCGACAGGGGGCGGCGGATCGAAGACGCCTACGGCGAATCACCGCCGCCCCCTGCCTTTTTGGAAACGCCGATGTGGCCGAAAGTTGGACTAGAGCTTGGCCAAGCTATCGGACCATGAGTTCCCCGAGTCGGTTTGGAAAGCTTTCGGGGAACACATGGGAGAGAATGATTATGAACAGGAAGAGGAAGAGGAAGAAATAGAGTAGGAGGATGAGGGTTGTTAGGAGTCTCTTGGGGCACCCTTGGGGTCTGTTGGGGGCTTCTTGGGGGCCTCTTCGAGGCCTCTTGGAGGCATCTTGGGGGCCTCCTTGGGCCTCTTGGGGGCCTTTGGGGGCTTCCTGGGGGTCTCTTTGGCCGTCTTAGGGCGTTCCTGGTCCGTCTGACGCCGTCTGGAGCCGTCTTGGGGGCCTCTCTGGGCCGTCTTGGGGCCCTCTTGGGGCGCTTCAGGGCCGTCTTGGAGGCCATGTTGGGCGTCTTGGAGGCCTCTTGGGCCGTCTTGGGGCGCTCTTGGGGCCGTCTTGGGGGGCCCTTGGGCCGTCATAGGGCCTTCTTGGAGGCCTCTTGGGCGATCTTGGGGGCCTCTTGGGCCGTCGGAAGGCCGAAAAGAAGAAAACGCAAAAAACCTTCAAAAACCTAAGGAAAACCAATGATTTTGGCCTCTTCGGGCTCTCCTGGAGAACGTCTTGGAGGCCTCTTGGGCCATCTTGGAGGCATCTTGGGGCCATCTTGGCCGTCTTGGAGGGCATCTTGGGCCGTCTTGGAGGCATCTTGGAGCCATCTTACCCGTCTTGGAGGCCATCTTGGCCGTCTGGGAGGCATCTTGGAGGCCATCTTGGGCCATCTTGGCCGTCTTGGAGGCCATCTTGGGCCAAGTTGGGGCAACAAAGGCATTGACAGACGGATTTTGGGAAAATTACGGGTGGCCGGCGGGACGGGCCGAAGCCCACTGGGGAGTTCTTTTAGAAAAAGAACCAAAACCAAAACCTGAAACATCCAGCACGCCGTGCACCCCTGTGGCAAGACCACAGGGGGCGGCGGATCGAAGACGCCTACGGCGAATCACCGCCGCCCCCTGCCTTTTTGGAAGCGCCTATGTGGCCGAACGTTGAGGCCAGACCTGCCAAGCTATCGGACCACGTGTTCCCCGAATCGGTTTGGAAAGCCTTCGGGGAACACGTGGGCATCTTGAAGGTCATCTTGGCCGTCTTGGAGGCCTCTTGGGCAAGCTTTGGGCGATCTTTGGGGCTTTTTGGGCCGTCTCGGGCCAGCTTCGAGCCAACTTCGGCCATCTTGGTGGGTTCCTGGCACGTCTGAAGCCGTCGGAAGCCGTTTGGGGGGCCTCTATGGGCCGACTTGGGGCCCGCTTGGAATGCTCCAGGGCCGTCTTGGAGGCCATCTTGGGCGTCTGGGAGGCCATCTTGGGCGTGTTGGAGGCCTCTTGGGCCCTCTTGGGGCCCTCTAGGGGCCATCTTGGAGGCCACTTGGGCCATCATGGGGCTCTCTTGGGGGCCTCTTGGGCGATCTTGGGGGCTTCTTGGGCCGTCTCGAGCCGTCGGAGAGCCGAAAAGGCGCAAATGCCAGAATCCTTCAAAAACCAATGAAAAATCAATGATTTTGGCCTCTTCGGACTCTCCTGGAGGACCTCTTGGAGGCCTCTTGGGCCGTCTGGGAGGCCTCTGGGGGGCCTCTTGGGCCGTCTTGGGCCGTCTTGGACTCTCTTGGGCCGTTTTGGAGGCCGTCTTGGACCATCTCGGGCGGACTTGGAGGCCATCTTGGGCCATCTTCGCGATTTTTTGAGGATGTCCCGAGCGAAACGGCCGTTTTTTGGAGGATTTTTTCCGGTCGTTGAGCACCTTCCGGGTGGCCGGCGGGTTCTGCCGGAGCCCACTGGGGAGTTCTTTTGGGAAAAGAACCAAAACCAAAACCTGAAACATCCAGCACGCCGTGCACCCCTGCAAGCAGGGGGCGGCGGATCGAAGACGCCTACGGCGAATCACCGCCGCCCCCTGCCTTTGTGGAAGCGCCTATGTGGCCGAACGTTGAGGCCAGACCTGCCAAGCCATCGGACCATGTGTTCCCCGAATCGGTTTGGAAAGCCTTCGGGGAACACGTGGGCGTCTTGATGGTCATCGTCGCCGTCTTGGAGGCCTCTTGGGCGATCTTTCGGCGATCTTTGGGGGCTCTTGGGCCGTCTCGGGCCGTCGGAAGGCCGAAAAAAGGGAAATGCCCAAATCCATCAAAAACCTTTGGAAAATCAGTGATTTGGCATCTTTTGGCCTTCCTGGAGGCCCTCTTGGGGGCCTCTTGGGCCCTTTTGGGCCAGCTTCGAGCCAACTTCGGCCATCTTGGTGGGTTCCTGGCACGTCTGACGCCGTCGGGAGCCGTTTTGGGGGCCTTTCTGGGCCAACGGGGGACCCTCTTGGGGCGCTCCAGGGCCGTCTTGGAGGCCATCTTGGGCGTCTTGGAGGCCATCTTGGGCGTGTTGGAGGCCTCTTGGGCCCTCTTGGGGCCCTCTAGGGGCCATCTTGGAGGCCACTTGGGCCATCATGGGGCTCTCTTGGGGGCCTCTTGGGCGATCTTGGGGGCTTCTTGGGCCGTCTTGAGCCGTCGGAGAGCCGAAAAGGCGCAAATGCCAAAATCCTTCAAAAACCAAGGGAAAATCAATGATTTTGGCCTCTTCGGACTCTCCTGGAGGACCTCTTGGAGGCCTCTTGGGCCGTCTGGGAGGCCTCTGGGGGGCCTCTTGGGCCGTCTTGGGCCGTCTTGGACTCTCTTGGGCCGTTTTGGAGGCCGTCTTGGACCATCTCGGGCGGACTTGGAGGCCATCTTGGGCCATCTTCGCGATTTTTTGAGGATGTCCCGAGCGAAACGGCCGTTTTTGGAGGATTTTTTCCGGTCGTTGAGCACCCTTCCGGGTGGCCGGCGGGTTCTGCCGGAGCCCACTGGGGAGTTCTTTTGGGAAAAAGAACCAAAACCAAAACCTGAAACATCCAGCACGCCGTGCACCCCTGCAAGCAGGGGGCGGCGGATCGAAGACGCCTACGGCGAATCACCGCCGCCCCCTGCCTTTGTGGAAGCGCCTATGTGGCCGAACGTTGAGGCCAGACCTGCCAAGCCATCGGACCATGTGTTCCCCGAATCGGTTTGGAAAGCCTTCGGGGAACACGTGGGCGTCTTGATGGTCATCGTCGCCGTCTTGGAGGCCTCTTGGGCGATCTTTCGGCGATCTTTGGGGGCTCTTGGGCCGTCTCGGGCCGTCGGAAGGCCGAAAGAAGGGAAATGCCCAAATCCATCAAAAACCTTGGGAAAATCAGTGATTTTGGCATCTTTTGGCCTTCCTGGAGGCCCTCTTGGGGGCCTCTTGGGCCCTTTTGGGCCAGCTTCGAGCCAACTTCGGCCATCTTGGTGGGTTCCTGGCACGTCTGACGCCGTCGGGAGCCGTTTTGGGGGCCTTTCTGGGCCAACGGGGGACCCTCTTGGGGCGCTCCAGGGCCGTCTTGGAGGCCATCTTGGGCGTCTTGGAGGCCATCTTGGGCGTGTTGGAGGCCTCTTGGGCCGTCTTGGGGCCCTCTAGGGGCCATCTTGGAGGCCACTTGGGCCATCAGGGGGCTCTCTTGGGGGCCTCTTGGGCGATCTTGGGGGCTTCTTGGGCCGTCTTGAGCCGTCGGAGAGCCGAAAAGGCGCAAATGCCAAAATCCTTCAAAAACCAAGGGAAAATCAATGATTTTGGCCTCTTCGGACTCTCCTGGAGGACCTCTTGGAGGCCTCTTGGGCCGTCTGGGAGGCCTCTGGGGGGCCTCTTGGGCCGTCTTGGGCCGTCTTGGACTCTCTTGGGCCGTTTTGGAGGCCGTCTTGGACCATCTCGGGCGGACTTGGAGGCCATCTTGGGCCATCTTCGCGATTTTTTGAGGATGTCCCGAGCGAAACGGCCGTTTTTGCGCACGGTGGCGGTTCTGCCGGAGCCCACTGGGGAGTTCTTTTGGAAAAAGAACCAAAACCAAAACCTAACAGCTCATCCAGCACGCCGTGCACCCCTGCAAGCAGGGGGCGGCGGATCTAGTGACCTTCGGCCCATGCCGCCACCGTGCCTGGGTTGTGGGTATGCCTCCTACCGGATGTTCGTCCGGATCTCGTGGGAGGCCTCTCGGGGCCCTCTTGGAGGCAGTCTTACGGCCCTCGGGGGCCGTTCTGGGGCCTCTTCTGGGCCTCTTCTGGGCCTCTTGGGGGCCTCTTCTGGGCCTCTTGGGGGCCTCTTGGGCGTCACTCGCCCTTCACCGTCTGCCCTTCGTCTTCTGCCGTCCTCCACTCCTCCCCCTCGGGGGGGGAGAAGGGCAGCAGGGCCCAGGGAAGGCGACCCCTTCCTGCGCACGCGCCCAGCCTCTCCTTCCCCGAGGAAGGAGGGCCCCCCAGCCATCGCTCTGGCCCCCTCCTTCCTCGTCCTCCCGCCGATGTCCCCCCCTTGCGTTGTTCTCCATCTGCGTCGCATGCTGCGCCGCTGTGCCTGGCTATGATGTGATGTGCCGGGCCGCCGGGCTATGTGATGTGCAGATTTTGAACGCTATTCGTTCCAATATTCATCCGCGGAGAGGCATGAGGGGGAGGATGATGGGGAGGGTGACGAGGAGGAGGAGGAGGATGAGGAGGATGAGGAGGAGGAGGAGGAGGAGGTCATGGAGGCGAATGGCGCAGTCAAGTTCCCATGACTTCTACATGCGGACACGTGTTTGTTCCCCCCCAAGTTCTTGGCCGATTCTGGGGCCAGAAAACGTGCCCCCTCCAGACTCCCTGCAGACGGCTGGCTCGCAGGGACGGGGCTCCTCGCACAGATGCAGCTCGATGGAGTACTGCGTGGCTGGTCTCCGCCCTCTTGTCTTCTCCCCTTCCCTCCCTTCCACTACCCTTTCTGTCCATCCCTCTTTCTCCTGCTCCTGCCGATCCTTCTTGTCGCCACTAGTTTTGCTCCTTGGTCCTGTTCTGTGCAGAGACAGTTTGTCGTGAACGCGTGTGTACCTCGACTGACCATTCGGGCCCCGTTGACAAATACAACGTGCCCACCAGCCGCAATCCCAAGGTAATTGAAAACGTCTGCCTGTTTTCGGGGTTTAGTGGTTTTCCCTCTTCCCTCAAGGGCTGGGCGGAAAACCAACTATATGTTCGATTCTTTACTACTTCATGTTTTTACTTACTTCTTTAGGCCGACGAGGGTACTTGCTGCAGAGCCCCACCCTGTTCGGACAGCCCACACAGGTCGACAAAGATGGCAAGCAGATTATACAGATGGACGGGCGCGCCTATTTTGCCGAGACGTGCACAGCCGGCGACTACAGCAACGAGCATTACCAGGCAAGCGGGAAGAGGCGTGTCAGGAGGGGTGTATCTGGAGGTTGCCAGATCGCTGCCTGGACCATACCAGGGAAAACTAGCGGAGAGAGAATTCGGAGAGGCAGTGCTGTGTCGGAGTGGAAAGGATGATGCTAGTCAGAACGGGGAACGATGATACCAGCACGCTCACATTTGGGGCCAGCTGTTGCACCCTGAGGACGTACTTGAAGCTGTGCTCATCGGATGTTCGCGTTCTCCATTCCTCTATATCTACCTCTCTCGATCGTTGTGTCTATATGTACCCTATTTTTGTCTACCTCTCAATATGTTTTTTTTTGTTCTCTCTCTCTCTCTATCAGGGGATGCTTTTGTCTGCGAGGGCCCCAAGCAGTGAATTGTTGCATTGAATGTGCAAGCTATGTTGTTCAAGCTGTGTGATGCAAGCTGTCTGGCTGATGCAAGGTGCAATGTACATATCTGTGGTGCAAGCTATGTGGTTCAAGCTATATGCTGCAAGCTATGTGGGAAGGAACGCGTTCTGCATTCGTTTGAGGGGGTGATCCCCCCGAATAACAAAACCATCACAGACGTCCGGAAATGGGAGGTCGAACCACCCCAGGCGCCAGACGAGGACGACGACGACGACAACGGCGACGACGACGACGACGACGACGGCGACGGCGACGGCGACGGCGACGGCGAAGGCGACGGCGACGGCAACGGCGATTGCAACGGCGGCGGCAACGGTGGGTCGGCGACAACGACGACGACGACGATGATGACCCCCATCTGGCGCCTGCAGATGACGACGACGACGATTACGACTACGACGACGACGACGATGACAACCCCCCTCAGGCGCCAGCGAACGACGACCACGACGAAACCGACTGGCGCCAGGGGGGTGGCCTCCCGTTCCCGAGGTGTCAAGAAATTTCTCGCACCCAAGCGCCAGTGAAACGCGCCCTCTCCTATGTGATGTCAGTTACGTTCGACCTACATGGTGTTTTTGCGATTGCGTGGGCCATTGTCGTTTCGATTTCGTTCTGCGGCAAAGACATGTTGAAAACCAAACGAGGGAACACGAGAAGAAAATGAAAACGAAACGCATCGCCCAGCTCGATCTTGGTGTGGTGCATTTTATGCCGTGGAAGCTATGTCGGGGCATGCTGCAGTGGAGACCCATGCCAAGAAACATCCTGCTTGCCTCCAGGGTGCCCTGGGTTTCTTGGGTTTCGATGGTTTGGGAGTCCCAGTGGACGTCCTGGAGTCTCAGGGTTGGGCTTCCTGTGGCAGGTTTCTTGTGGTCGGGCCTCCCTCCGCTGTATGCCGTGCAAGCTGTGTGGTGCAAGCTGCGGGCCGCCACGCGCGGCCACCCAGCGAGAAGCGAGGAAGCGCCGGCCAGGGAGCGAAGGGCTCCCATGGAGCCGCCCGGGGGCGGCCACGGCGGAGATCCGGGCGCCAAAGCCACGAAGCGCGTCGCCAGTTCCTTAGAAGCCGTGTGAGAAAGAACCCTGACCGCACGCATGGTCTGGGGAATATCCAGAGAGGGAGAGAGAGAGAGAGAGGGAGAGAGAGAGAGAGAGAGAGAAAAATAAAACAGAGAAAGAGAGAGAGAGAGAGACAGGGAGAGACAGGGAGCGAGAGAGGGAGAGAGTGGGACATACATGCAGAGAGAGAGAGAGAGAGATGTCAACATACATAGGTTATGTGAGAGAGCGTGATCCACCGCCGCTTTACTGTGGAAAATTGCCAACCTTTTCCTCCGGAACCCGGGGGTCGCCCCCCCCCCCCCCGAAAATCCCCCCCCCCCCGGCTGGAACCCCCCCCTCCCCCGGCAAACCGCCCCCCTCCCCTAACCCCTCCCCCGCCCCCCCTCCCCTTCGAACCCCCCCCCCTCCCCTCCGGATCCGGAAAACCGGGGGGGGTCACTACGGTTCGAACCCCCCCCCCCCCGAAAACCCGAGGGGGGTCACTACCGGTTCGACCCCCCCCCCCACGCACCGCCAGCAAACGACTCCCGGTCCCTACCACCGTCCGCATCACATCCCCCACTGTTGTTCCCAGCACCACTGTCCTCACCACCACTGTCCCCACTGGTTCCACCACCGTCCCTACTGTCCCCACCAGTGCCCCCACCACTGTCGCACTGTCCCCACTGTCCCCACCACTGTTCCCACCACGGTTCCACTCTCCCCACTGTCTCCACGGCCCCAACCACTGCCCGACTATCCCCACTGTCCCCACTGTCCCACTGACTCCTCCGCTGTCCCACTGAGCTGTCCCACTGTTCCCACCACTGTCCCCACTGTCCCCACCACTGTCCCCACTGTACCTCTGTCCCATTGTCCCACCGCCGTCCTCGCCACCGCCTTCACCACTGTCCCCACCACCATTGTACCCTCCACTGTCCCACTGTTTCCACCTCATGTCCCACTGTCCCCACACCACTGTCCCCACCACCACCGTCCCCACCACTGTCCACTGTCCCCCCTGTTCCCACCATTGTCCCCACCACTGTCCCCACCACTACCGTCCCCACCACTGTCCCACTGTCCCACTGTCCCCACCACTGTCCCGCTGTCCCCTCACCACTGTCCCCACCAACACCGTCCCCACCACTGTCCGCACCCCCACTCGGTTTTCGAAGGGGGGGGGGGGGGTTCGAACCGGAAGTGACCCCCCCCGGTTTTCGAGGGGGGGGGGGGTTCGAACCGGTAGTGACCCCCCCTCTTTTCATGATGAGCTGGGGGGGGGGGAGGGGTTCGAACCGGTAGTGACCCCCCCCCGGTTTTCCAGAGGGGGGGGGAGGGGGGGGGAGGGGTTCGAACCGGTAGTGACCCCCCCGGTTTTCCGCCAGCAGCGGTAGAACACTTTCTTTCGGTTATGTATACCTATATGTAAATTTCCACATGTATATCTACATGTATAGGGAGAGCGAGAGTGAGAAGGAGAGGGAGGGAGGGAGAGAGAGAGAGAGAGAGAGAACAAAAGGAAGGGACAGAACAGGAGAGGGCGATACACTGTATTCGACCTCTTGGGATTCCACAGGCATTGAACTTGCTGGGGAAGAGGATGCGGTACACTACCGACATTTCTGGACATGATGCGTCTTTCGAGTGTCTCATCTCTGATTGAAGTGCAGATATTTGCCCTGGTGTGGCCTCAGCGGGTGGGAGCATCTGACTTCGTTGGTCACAGCATGCTTGCGCTAACGATCTTAGCAGTATCATTCAGAACACGGGCGCTTCTCACCACTACCGGATCGTTTTTGGACGCCATTTCGAGAGGATGTCCATGCATTTGCACAGATTGCTTTCCCAGGGCCAGTTGACAGCAAGCACGCGTGTTAGAAGGCATCCCCCCCCCCAAAACAGGTGTCCGCTTGCTCTGTATGCTTCGCTCCTTGCCCTGGGGCTGGGGTCGACAGCTCAGGTGCCCCTCGCCTCCATTGATCAGCGGCAGACTCCCCATCCGAATGAGTGTTTTGTGCCTCTGGGAGACGAGGCGTTGGGAGCACTATGGCCGAATCCTCGTGGCGTCGCCGCCAGGAGCAGGTTGCGGCTGCAATGCTGCCATGTACCTCGTTTCCATGAGGCAGAACACCGACGAGTCCGAGTGTCGCGACTACTACTGTGACGCGAACAACGTGTGCGGTGGACCCTCTCTTCCCTCCTTCCAAGGGAAGGTGCGGGTGATGAGGACGGATTCAGGTGAGTGCATCGCGTTAAGGGGCGGGCTCGGTGCGCGTGGAGGGGGGTCTGGCGACGGCTGAGGCCGAGGGGACGATCCAAAAGGAGGAGCTGTGCCTCGGGGTTGGGAACATCGAAAGACTTGCCCATTCAGTTTGGATCCAGGCCTGGGTGGCCAACCTGCCCAGGAGCGTGCGGTTTTCCCATCGGGGGCCTGTCGCAGTTCTAGCAGCGTCGCATCGTCGTGAATATCCCTGGCCACTTCGGTCAACGCTTGGCAGTCTCTGAAGGTGGGATGAACTGCTTCTGGTGCACACTCTGAAAAAGGCTTCAGGAGCTCTGGCACGCGTTCTTTGCCAAGATCAATTTATTTGGTCTAAGGGGGATTTAGAGTTGGCTTGTAGCTGCTTGTTGCAACCAGCCACTTTCGCCGACCTTCGGTGCCTGCTTTTTTTGGTTCTGTGTTGGCCAATCCTCCCGCTGGTACATAACCAGCGTTCCTTCTTTTTGCGCGCCCGTCGTAGTCTTTGGCACTGAAGCGCGCAGCCCTGAAGCTCTTGACTTCAGCTTGGGAACTGTGCTGCCAGTGCCAGCAACTACCTGGTCCGTAAGATCGGCACTTCACGCCGGGGCGCATCGCCCTCATAGCAGTATGAGGCAGGCCGCTGCCGCTAACTGCTGACAGCCGGCATTGCAGGGCTCGACCTAAACGGCGTTTTGGCGATCTCGTGGACCGTTTTCGTTTTGATTTCGTTTTGCAGCAAAGGCGGAACGAACAGCGAACGAGATAAACCAAAAGCAAATCGAGGTCGAGCCATGTGGCATTGCAGTCAAAAGCGAAGTCCCGATGATGCCGGTGAGCCGTTGTGCAAGTTGTTCCATGGTGATCTTGAACAGTTCGTGGGGGCGATCTTGGTTTTCATTGTTCAAGTGGTCGAGAACCAATAGTTGGCTCAACGGTATGATTATTCTGTTCGTGCCTTCCAAGCCCGCAAGCTTTGTGGCATGGCTTCCTTTTGAACCATTGCTCGCCTTTGTTCGGCTGAATGAAGCTTGTTGTTTTTCTGCGCAGCTTTCTGCACATCTATATTGGATACGTTTTGCCACGCGCTAATCTGCTGTTTCGGTGATCGCTCCAAAGTGCACCTCTTTCTTCTGTGTGTCGATGCTCGCAACCTTTATTGCACTTTTTGCGCACACTTTCGCGGAAGTTACGAGCGCTTCTTCTCCAGACTCAGTCTAGGTCGGATGGCCACCAGAGCCTCTCTCTTCCTCTTTCTCCTCCCCACCGTCCCCCCTCCTCTCCTCCCTCCCTCTCGCTCTTCCCCTCCCTCCCTCCTTCTTGCCCCTCTCTCCTCCCTCCTCAATGCCTAAGATGTCAAGGCCAGCTTTGATAAACCGTTGCTATGTGGTGTCGTGTTTTCTGGATGCGGCCCTGCCCTGCGATGCCGAGTGGGGACCGTGCGTGACAATCAAGATCAGATCCAAAGCGCGCAGACTACGAGATTGGATGCTTTTCGGTTATTCTGCCAACGCCGAATGTTTCAACCTCCATCCATGGCCCAACCCACCCGCCAACGGATGCTGCCACAATAGCATCGTCTTCGAGCTATTCTGGGTTAGCATGAACATTGATTGTTCTTGAACTGGACGCCAGCTTTGGCAGTGGGGTCCCTCAAGTATCACGTACACACGAGAGCAGGGACAAGTTCCTGAACAAACACCGCAACTTCGAATATCTTCATACATGGACTCCGAGCAGGTCGTTACCCTGGGCGTGCGGGGAAGGGTTGCGGAGGCATCGGAAGAGACTCAACGAGAGCCCATCGTGGCGGGGGCAGTGGAACGTACACCATCATTATTGGCGTGTGTGGTAAGGGTTCAGGCGGAGTTCACGGGATGTGTTCAGCTACGGCGGTCTTAATGAGATGCGATGTCTGCTTCAAGACGATGGTGATAGCCAGCTGCATACAATAAACGTTGCTTGGGTATCCAAGGCCAACTGCCCCAATGGACACCACCGGAGTTTCAGCATGGAGGACTGCAGACTACCCAACTCTGTGGCGCATCAACGCGATGACTTTGGACGCGCCCAGATCGACACACTAGCAGTCAGAAGTACATTGCGAGACGTATAGCACATGCCGCAATCGTATCCAATCCAGCTTCCGATGATGCTACGGTGTCTGGGACAAGGCCTAGCCAGCGTTCAGAGCAGAACCGAGGAACCCGCTTGCAGCCCAAGTGTTTCAAGGCCAGGTCTGATCGCCAGCCCGTGATGGGGCTACGACCGTCCTAGATGGCGTGCGGCAATGTGTAGTGGCGCGCGGGCGCGGATGTCGGTGCCTCGTCGCCGTTGTCCTCCTTCTTCCCTTGTTCCCTCTCTGTCCCTTGCATCCTATCAGAAAGAGGAGCGGGCGGGGAACGGTGGAGAGAAGTGCCGAAGGGGACCGCGGGTCATGGTCAGGAGGAGGGGGATGAGGAGATTGGGGGTGGGAGGAGGGGGAGCGGGGAGGAATTGTGGAGGAGGAGGAGGAGGTGGAAGACGAGGAGGGGGAGGAGGCAAGGCGGAACGGGGGGGACGCTCAGACTGGACTGGAGGCCCTCCCCCTGGTGGCCGCCAGTCTTCGCCAAGAGGGAGGATGCTTCGAAGGAACCGACGGTGTCCGCGGTGTGGTACGTTCGGTTGTGTCGCAGTCGGTTTCGTTCGGTCGGTTCGGTTCGGTCGGTTGTTGTGTCGTTGCTGCGTCGCTGCGCCCTTCTGGGCTGCTCGTGGCTTGTCGGTTTCGGTCTCGTTGTCGGTTCGGTCGATTTTCGGTTGTGTTGTGGGCGTGGTCCCCCGGCTCCTCGCCATTCTCGGACTCTTGGGGGCCTTCAGATAATTATGAAAGCGCGCCGCTGGATCACCCTGAATTTGAAAAGGGGGGGGGGTGCTCACAGAACCCCCCCCCTTCAAAGGGGGAGGGAGATTTTCGACCCCCCCCCGCCTCCCTTAAAGGGGGGGGGGGGGGTCCAGACCCCCCCTTCAAAGGGGGGGGGGGGGGGGGGGGGTTCGGACCACCCCCCCCTCACCCCCTTGGCGCTGGAAGGGGGGGTGGTTCGACCCCCCCCCTCCCTTCGCTTGCGCCGAACAGGGGGCCAGGGAGGGGGCCTCTCCCGCGGGGGGGGGGTCTGGCCTCGGGAAAGTCACTGATGAGTAGTGAGCAGAGAGCGGTGAGTCGTGGGTAGTGAAGACAGAGTGGTGCGTATATAGTTGCGAGTAGTGAGGAGTGAGTAGTGCGTAGTGAGTAGTGAGTAGTGAGTCGTGCGCAGTGAGTAGTGAGTCGTGAGTAGTGAGTAGCGAGTAGTGGCTAGTGGGGAGTGGGTAGTGAGTAGTGAGTAGCGAGTAGGGGGTAGCGAGTAGTGAGTAGTGAGTAATGAGTAGGGCATTGTGAGTAGTGAGTAGTGAGGAGGGAGTAGCCAGTAGTGAGTAGTGAGTAGGGAGTAGCCAGTAGCGAGTAGGAGTAGCGAGTAGTAGTGAGTAGGGAGTAATGACAGTGAGTAGGGAGTAGTGCGTAGTGAGTAGTGAGAAGTGAAAAGTGGGTAGTTGGTAGTTGGTAGTGCGTAGGGAGTAGCGAGTAGAGAGTAGTGAGTCGTGAGTAGTGGATCCTGAGTAGTGAGTACTGAGTAGTGAGTAGTGAGTAGTGACTTGTGACTAGTGATTAGTGAGTAGGGAGTAGCGAGTAGTGCGTAGTGAACAGTGAGTGTTGTGTAAGGAGTAGGTAGTAGCGTGTAGCGAGCAGCGGATAGTGAGTAGTGAGTTGTGGGCAGTGAGTAGTGAGCAGTGAAGAGTGAGCACTCAGTGGTGGGTAGTGGCAAGTGGTTAGTGGGTAGTGAGTAGTGAGTGGTGAGTAGTGGACAATGAGTACTAATTAGTGAGTAATGAGTAGTGGGTAGTGACTAGTGAGTGGTGGGTAGTGAGTTGGGAGTATTGAGTAGTGAGTAGTGCGTAGTGAGTAGTGGGTAGTGGGTAGTGAGTAGTGGGGGCAGTGAGTAGTGAGAAGTGAGAACTGAGTATTGAGTAGCGAGTAGTCAGTAGTGGGTAGTGAGTAGTGAACAATTTGTACTGAGTGCTGTTTGAGGCTAGGGTTAGGGGTGGTAGGGGTCGGGTTCGGAGCCAGGGGGCGTCGTGGCGAAAAGGGGGGGGGTCGAATTTTGGCGGCCACAAGGGGGGGAGGGGGGGGGGTCCGGACCACCCCCCCCCCCTTTTGCAAGGGGGAGGGGGGGGGTTCCCGACGACGACCCGGAAAGGGGGGGGAGGGGGGGGGGTCCCCGACGACGGACCGGAAATGGGGGGAGGGTGGGGGTTTCCCCGACGACGGATCGGGGAGGGGGGGGGAGGGGTTCCCAACCCCCCCACCCCTTGGGGAGATCCAGCGGCGCGCCCTCGATAATTATTCGGGATGAAGCGCGTTGGTCCCAAGGCGAGGCCCACAGTCGTCTTCTCGTAAGAGCGACCTTTCGACGGCGTTACCTCTGGTGCGAGGTTTGCGGGAGGTGCGGGCGGACCGAACCCAAACACGCAGGCCGCTAGTGTCGCAACGCCTGCAACGATCTTCAAGCAGCGCACCCAAGGTCACTCTTGCCCTCGGTCACTCTTTGCGTGTAGCCACCACGTATCGACCTCCAATCGCCCCTTCATCGCCGATAGTTGCCTGATAGCCCATGGCTCCCAGGAGCGTGCGGATTTGATTTTGGGTGCCTACCGCCGATCAATCGGCCATGTTTCGCCGATTCCAGAGCAATACCCCCCCCCGTTGCGCGAGTGCGCGAAGATGATGGCCATGGCTCGCTCATTGCGCGGCGCGACTTGCAGAAGTTAGACTCGTACAGTTAAGACGCTGAAGTAAGACACACTTCTGCCGTAGGAGGGGCAGATCTGGGTCGGGGGACCTGTTCGTGGCCGCCTTCGTTCCTTGGTCAGCGGTCCTCCTGGTAGCGCGACTTCCCTGTCGTTGCCGAGTGATGGGCCCGTGTCGCCGACAGGCCTTCGTGGGAGGGGCACTGCAGTCGCAGAGAGCACCTGCTCTACAAGCTCCCATTCTCGCCCTGCTTCGCAGGGCGACGCGTCGAGATCTTCCGCGCCAGCTTGGGTCGGCCAGGGCATGGGCTTGATCCTAGCATCGCTTGGACGTGTGCATTTTTTCTCGGCGAGAACCATCGAGGACCATCCTCGACCAACGAGAAAAAAACACGCACGAAACCGAAAAATGCACGGGAAATGGACGTCCGAGCGACGGCGAGTGATTGCCATCCAGGACCTCTAGGGTTGCGCCGCGGCCTCGGCAGGTGTCTCGTGCCATGAGATCGATATCCAGGAGGGGAACATGTACGCGTGGCACTCCACGCTGCACACTCAGAGCGACAGCGACGGATATGGTGGCAACACCCGGCCGAACAACCGCCCTCTGCTGCTTGTCTTGGACGGGGTGCAAGGGCAGCGACGGTTGTCTTCTCTGCGAAGAGCTCGCACCTCGCGGCTTACATGTTTGGCTATCTTGAGGCTGATTTATTATCATTTGACTTGCATGCGTACTGCATGTGCCATCGAGCAGCTTAGATGTTTAACTTTGAGGGATGCCCTGTTCAGGGGAGGCCCAGTGCATGTCTTGTCCTGCGGCTCGTATGTGCTAGTTGTCTTTTTGTTTTGCCGCCCTCCGCCTCGCCCGCGCCTCCTGACAGTTCGCCTCGTTGCGTCCTGCTTAGGCTCCGATGCGCCCTGTGTGTTCGCTGGCGCCGCCACAGAACAAGTGTTATATTCATCAGGTGGGGGAACAAAACACACGGACACAATGAATCGTCGATTCCGAGGGAACAGTCTGGGAAAATATGGGGAGTGGGGGGGAAGACGGAAACCCAGAAACTATCGAAACACATGGGGTTCCTGGGAGCTGTGTCCTCTGATCAGACTTGTGTCTCCCAGGGCCCCTTTACACTGAGCCCGCAGAGCGGGAGCACGGCGCCCCCCCCTCCCCCCCCAGGAGGGGACGCCCGCACGCCCAGGAGGCGTGCCGTGGCGATGCCGGGGGCTTCCTGGGGCCCTCCCCGGGCGCCCTGGGGGCCTTTTGGTCGGGGCCTAAGAGACGGGGGTCAGGGCAAACGGGGGTCAGTCAGGGCACCGGATCCTGCAGGATCCTGCGAGGACCCCTTCTGGCTGACCCGGGTTGGAGAGCCGCTCGTGGCCGCGAGGCGGCCGCGCATGTTGGCCGACCCGGGTTTGCGAAGACCTGCGCTGCAGTTTTTTTTCCTGCATTGCAGTTTTTGGGTTTCCTGCTGACCCGGGTCTGGATTGACCCGGGTCAGAAGATCCCCGATTTGGGAGGCCCCTGGGGCCTCCCCAGACATCGGGCTCTTCCTCCCAAGTCGTTTTGGTGACGGCCCCGAGGCCGGGGAGGGGCCTCGAGAAGCCGAAAACTACTGTGGAGGCCAATCCACTAGAAACCCAACCCTGAGACCCCAGGACGTCCATCATGTTTGGTTCGGGAACGTCACGCTGTCCATGGCAAAGGTATCGAAACCCAAGAAACCAAGGGCACCCTGGAGGCAAGCAGGGTGCTTCTAGGCATGGACCTCCACTGTATGAAACATCTCCGTCATGTTTTCTAGACGCCCCCCGCGTCTGGAAAAAGCCGAGGCGCCGAATGTCTGGGTCTGAGGGCCCATTTACGCATGCCTATCAGTCTCCTCCATCCTCCTCCATTTCATCATCTACCTTGGAGGAAGAGGAGGAGGAGGAGGAGGAGGAGGAGGAGGAGGAGGAGGAGGAGGAGGAGGAGAAGGAGGGAGGAGGACGGAGGAGGAGGAGGAGGAGGACAAGGAGGAGGAGGAGCAGGAGGAGGATGGGGGGGCCCCTTCGATGGCTAGCACGGCTGGGGCCCGCAGGGGCCCCGCCGAGTTTCATTGTTTCGCTCCGTCCGCCGGCTCTTACTGCATGTAGTCTGTAGTGTTACGTCGGGCGTGTCCCTCCACAGGAGGAATACTCGAAAATAGAAAGAAATGGCGACGATTTTTGACAATTCTTGAACATGTTTCCCTATTCCTTATTTTTCGTCCAAAACCCGCCTGTAGGGGGACATGCCCGACCTAACTGTGGTGGCATTGGCCAGACTGCGTCGTGGGCCAGATGCCTCTTTGGGAGTCTTTCTTTGACGTCTCTTCGGAGGCCTTTCTGGGGCTTCTTGGTGGCCGTGGACCAGATGCCTCCTTGGGAGGCGGCTTCTTGGGGTCTCACCGGAGGCCTCTGCTGAGGCTCTGAGGGGCCTTTTTGGTTGCATTTTTGTGACCTCCTTGGGCTTTTTGAGGGCCTCTTTCTGGCCTCCCGGTGCATTTTCGGGACATCTTGGGGACCTGCTGGCGGGCTTGGGCGCTGTTTTTCGGGGCAGGCTCGACATGTGAGTTTGGATTTCCCTTTGGGGGCCTTCTTGGGGGCCTCAGCAGCTCTCTTGGGAGGTCTCTTGGGCCGTCTTGGAGTCCTCTTGGGCCGTCTGGGGGCCGTCCTTTGAGAGCCACTTGGACTGACCTGGGGCGAGCTTGGCGGTCTAGTGTTATGAGCAAAAGGGAGGAAGCAATGAGAAGTGGAGGGAGAGACATCATGGGGAAAATCAGCGATGAGGGGTGCCTATTTCGATTATCCGATCTCTTTCCCTGCGGAGACCGCAGCACTGGCTGACCGCGCGTCTGTTGTCAAATGTTTTGTGGGGCTCATGTCCCCGTGCCAAACGACGAAGAGCTGCAGCAACCCGGCGCGCAAGAATTGGCACATTCAGTGGCGCTGCAGATGAAGCTTACCCCCAGACGCGCTGCCGCGTGCATTCGTCTCCACGTTGTGCGGGGGTGGGGCTTGGGCGGAGCCTGAAAGCAGGCCGGGGGCCCGGGGGGGTTCCAGGGGCAACGTTAGGGGAGTATAGGCTCAGAGGGAATGCATCGACCCAAAATCGCCCACGGAGGCCCATCGCCGATCTATCTGCAATATGTCGGGACTGTATCGGCCGATCCGAGGTCGATGCTTCCCCCCTGAGCCGTTCCCCCTTAACGTTGCCCCTTAGGGCGGGGGACTGAGGGAAAGGATCCAAGAAGGGTCCTACCAGGGATTCTGATTTGGGCGTCGTCTTGGAGTGAGAGGCGAAAGACTCTGGGGGCTTGGGGCAAGGGCATGGGCTCCTGGATGTTTTGAGGCAACCGGATGCGTGTTGGGCTCGGTGCGCTGGGGCGCCGCATGTTTCGTCTCGTAAGGAGCTAAAGTCATGAGCAAATTCAAGGAACCCGACACACGCCAGCCGCCGCAACACGCGGTGGCAGATGTCTTGGGAAGGCCTTACGGCCGGTGTTGCCGACCCTGAAGGGGAACGACAACGATGACGACGACGACGACGACGCTGACGCTCGGGAGCCCTTCTTGGGGCTCTCTTGGGAGCCTATTCGGCTCTGTTGGGGGGCCTCTTGGGGCACTTCTTCCTTGGGAGTCTCCGTGGCCACTTGTGGCCGCCTCGGGGCAGATCTGAGGCCTCCTTGGGAGGCGTGTGGGAACACACGCAGCACCCCGCAGCACCAGATAATGAGGAGGGTACCTTCCGGGGGTGGGGGGGTGCGGGAGGAGGGGGGGGATTTGGGATTTGGGCCCCCTCGTCCACAGGGGGGAGGCGGGGGGGCGTGGCCCTCCGATAGTTCCCCCTGCCCACCAGGGGACCACCTTTCCCGTCCACCTTGTACACAGGGGGGACCCCCGGGGGGGGGAGGTCACGGCCCCCGGCCGCCCCCCCTCCCGGACACCCTCTGCTACCCCCCCAGGGCCCCCCCCTCGCCGCCCCCCCGCGGGACCCTCACCCCCCCCCCCCCGCCAGGGAAGGGAACCAAGGGAAGAGGCTTCCCCTCGAATCTATTGCGACGTTGTTTGATCTCCGCCTGGCCCAGTCGCTTGAGGAGGAGGGCCCAGGGAAGGAGGAGGGGAGCGGCGACGGCGACGACGACTCAAACAGAAAAATGTCTCACGCACGCCAGGGTCGACGGACATTGCTTATTTTCGAGTGTTCGTTGTAAGCTCTCCCGAATGTTCATCAGGCGTCGCCGCTTTGACTATGTTTACATTGTTTTCGTTTTTGTCCTAGTTTAAGTTTCAGTACTTTTTTCAACTCGCTCTACATCGATTCCGAGCACGACGACTGTTTTATGTTGGTTGTAGTGTGGAATTGGTTGCGCAGCATGTGCAGTGCCATAACAGTTAGATCTGACGCATAGCGCAGTTGTCCTCACGATGTTGTCACGACCTGCACGTTCTCGATGTGGCCCGCACGGCAGATTGTGATTATGGTTGCGGTGAAAATGCCTCCGCTTGTATACCGGATTCCTTTGTCACAGCGATCTGACGGTGTGCGGTTGCATCGAATTAAGCACTAGTCGTTTGGAGTGATGGTGAGGATCCCTCGAGTATGTCTCGTTCGCTGATGTTCCCAACATATGATGGTAAGGTATCTCTGTTTTTTGGCAGTCCTTTACCATGCATGCCAGTCACACGTTCATACCTCTTTTCCTCGTTTGTGCCTGGCCTCTTCATCTTTGGTTCCGTCGGTGTACTTCTGCGCCACTTCTGGTGCTGCCAGGGTCAGTGAGAACGGTCAGTTCGCTTGCTTCGTGGGCGCAGGCAAAGGCTACGGTGGTGGCGACGGCTGGGATGGCCCTCGCGACTTTGGGGCCAGCGAGTACTCTCCCGGCGGGAGCTGCATCGACACTGCGAAGCCGTTCCAGGCAGTTGGGAGGCGAGGAGGAAGGAGTAGTAGTAGTAGTAGTAGTAGTAGTAGTAGTAGTAGTAGTAGTAGTCGTAGTAGTAGTAGTAGTCGTAGTAGTAGTAGTAGTCGTAGTAGTAGTAGTCGTAGTAGTCGTAGTAGTAGTAGTCGTAGTCGTAGTAGTAGTAGTAGTAGTAGTAGTAGTAGTAGTAGTAGTAGTCGTAGTAGTAGTAGTAGTAGTAGTAGTAGTAGTCGTAGTAGTATAGTAGTAGTAGTCGTAGTAGTATAGTCGTAGTGGTATAGTAGTAGTAGTAGTAGTAGTTTTATCTAGTAGTAGTAGTAGTAGTAGTAGTAGTAGTAGTAGTGCAGTAGTAGCAGTAGTAGTAGTCGGAGTCCGTAGTCGTTGTAGTAGTAGTAGTAGTAGTAGTAGAGTACGTTAGTAGTGGTAGAGTCGTAGTCGTAGTCGGAGTGTAGTCGCCGTAGTCGTAGTAGTAGTGTAGTAGTAGTAGTAGTAGTGTAGTAAGTAGTAATAGTAGTCGTAGTAGTAGTAGTGGTAGTAGTCGTAGTAGTAGTAGTAGACGTAGTAGCATTCGTAGTAGTATTCGTAGTAGTAGTAGTAGTAGTAGTTAGTGTAGATAGTAGTGTATTCGAGTATTCGTAGTAGTAGTAGTAGTAGTAGTAGTAGTATTTGTAGTAGTTAGTAGTAGTAGTAGTCGTAGTCGTAGTGCGTAGTCGATAGTCGTACTCGTCGTTCGTAGTCGTAGTCGTTAGTTCGTATCGTAGTCGTAGTCCGCAGTCGTACTCGCATTGTAGTCGTAGTCGTAGTCGTAGTTCGTAGTCGTTAGTCGTAGTCGTGTCGTAAGTCGTAGTTCGTAGTCGTAGTTCGATCGTGTAGTAGTAGTAGTAGTGTAGTTAGTAGTCGGTAGTCGTAGTTCTTAGTCGTAGTAGTCGTAGCGAGTCGTAGTCGTAGTAGTAGTAGTAGTAGTAGTAGTAGCAGTAGAAGTCGTAGTAGTAGTAGTAGTAGTAGTAGCAGCAGCAGAGGCAGTAGTAGTAGTAGTAGTAGTAGTAGTAGCATCAGCAGTATTAGTAGTAGTAGTAGTATTCGTAGTATTCGTAGTATTCGTAGTATTCGTAGTATTCGTATTCGTAGTATTCGTAGTAGTAGTAGTAGTAGCAGCAGCAGAGGCAGTAGTAGTAGTAGTAGTAGCAGCAGTAGTAGTAGTAGTAGTAGTAGTAGTACTCGTAGTATTCGTAGTATTCGTAGTATTCGTAGTATTCGTAGTATTCGTAGTACTGGTCGTAGTAGTAGTAGTAGTAGTAGTAGTAGTAGTAGTAGTAGTAGTAGCCGTAGTAGTAGTAGTAGTAGTAGTAGTAGTAGTAGTAGTAGTAGAAGTAGTAGTAGTAGTAGTCGTACTAGTAGTAGTAGTAGTAGTAGTAGTAGTAGTAGCAGCAGTAGTAGTAGTAGTAGTAGTATTCGTAGTATTCGTAATATTCGTAGTATTCGTAATAGTAGTAGTAGTAGTAGTAGTAGCCGGAGTAGTAGTAGTAGTAGTAGTAGTAGTAGTAGTAGTAGTATTTGTAGTAGTAGTAGTAGTAGTAGTAGTCGTAGTAGTAGTCGTAGTAGTCGTAGTAGTCGTGATGGTGGTGGTGCTAGTACTAGTAGTAGTATTCGTAGTAGTGGTCGTAGTAGTAGTAGCAGTAGTAGCAGTAGTAGCAGTAGTAGTAGCAGTAGTAGTCGTAGTCGTAGTAGTAGTAGTAGCAGTAGTAGTAGTAGTAGTAGAAGTAGTAGTAGTATCAGTAGTAGTAGTAGTAGTCGTGTAGTAGTGGTAGTCGTAGTTAGTAGTAGTAGTATCGTAGAGTCGTAGTTAGCCGTAGTCGTAGTAGTAGTTAGTAGTAGTAGTAGTCGTAGTTAGTTAGTATAGTAGTAGTAGTAGTAGTAGTAGTAGTAGTAGTAGTAGTAGTAGTAGAAGTCGTAGTAGTAGTAGTAGTAGTAGTAGTAGTAGTAGTAGTCGTAGTAGTAGTATATGTTCTTGAACGGTTTGAGCTTGGGCTTTTTGAATTCGGTGATGTCAATACCTGCTAAACGATCCATGGAAGTTTACACATCGGAGTGCCCTCTCTCACCTGTCCCCGCTCTCTCCCCTCCATAGCCTGTCTTCGGCTTAAGGACGGGCGGCACGCCGCATGCCCGCCTCCGGCGGGCCCGCTGCGCTGCCGGCCTTGTGCGTGGCGCTGATAGCTGGCCTGGACTGGCGAGCGAGCCCCCTCCGGCCTGGACCCGTGCCACGTAGGGAGGCTCTGGTGTGGCTCGACGGGGACGCCGACGCCGGCGTCGTGGCCTTGTTGACGGCTCCGACTCCCACGGGGGAAGAGTGGTGCGCTGATCTCCCTCGCGGTGCTCTCGCCCGGGTGAGCTACGACGACGACGTCAGGGACCTCGAGCGTGTCGTGGTCTGGCCCTCGCGTCAAGGGGAGGCTGTCGAGCGGGTGGGTCTGCACTTCTACTGGGTCCTCTCGCCCGACGGCAACTGGTGGAGGGAGCTGCTCTCAGGGGCCTCACCTACTGGCCCTTCGGACGACGAGCGCATCGCCGACGGGGGTGCCTCGCCTGCTGATGGCCTGAAGCCGTACAGCTTCCGCGAGCGGCCGACCCCTACTCAGCTCGTGGAGCCGGCCGACGGGTGCCGACTGGCGATGGAGGCTCGCGGGCAGGCGGCTGCCGGGGGGCCCGCCCACGTGGAGCTCGCCTCTGGCATGCTGCTGGAAGGCGGGGAGGTGTCCCCGTGGGCCGTGCCGCCGTGGCCGTCGCACCGACTCCACGGGAGGCAGGGGCACGTCTGGGTGCTGACCGAGCCAGTGTTCGACCTGGACATCGGCGCGCTCGCGGACCCGTCGAGCGAGACGCTCATCGGCGCTGGATTGGGTGCCCCCGGGCCCCGTCGCGGGCGGACGTTTCGTCGGGAGCTGGTGCCGCGGGACGGCGGGGCAGGCTGGGCGTCACGCCGCGTGGCCGAGCTGAGCCGTCTCCTGGAGGTGGCAGTTCCCGTGGCGGCGCTCGGCTCCCCTCCCCCGGGCGGTGTCCTGGATGGCGCCGCTGCCAGCGGCGCGGAGGGCGCTCCCGCCCGGGATGGCGCTCCGTCGGCTGGTGCCTTGGCTGACGCCGCTCGAGATGGCACTCGCATGTTCTGGATCGAGTGGGGCGGCCAAGGGGAGCGGTACAAGGGGTTCAGAGAGGCCGCGAACGAGTCGGCGGACTGTGTCGAGGGCCACCAGCGTCAGGAGGACGGCCTGACTCGCCTGCACACCTGCAAGATGATATACCACACGATGGGCACCCCTCGGAGTTGGCTCGAGAAGTTCTTGAGTGACAAGCGCGTCGTGCACGCCGACCGGGTCGCCCCTGGGCCCTGGCCGCCGATGGAGGTGCTCGAGGAGGCCGTGTCCTTCGACCAGGCCAACTTGGGGGGGCTCGCTCTCCTTGTGGTGGCCGAGCGCCGGCTCAACGTGACCGTGGACGCCTATAAGTGCGCTGGCACCCCCTCGTTCGCCACCGCCAAGTACTTGGCTCCGCTGGGCGAGTCAGACGAGTCAACGGCGCCGCCGCCGAGGAGCCACGTGGCCTACCACATGAAGGAGGTCTGTGGGGTCGAGCGGTCCGTGATGAAGGCCGAGGCTGCGGATGCTCGTGTGACGTCGGGATCTGCTGCAATCCAGCCGGGCGCTGAGGGTGCCACCACAAGGATCGGCGGTGGGGACAGGGGGGGAGGTCGCTGCGGTCGTGTCCGCGGAGGTCGCACCCTGGGGCTCCCCCCGCAGGCCCAGTCATGACCGAGAAGGCGCGGCCGGGGGAGTGGGCCCCCCCCGGCTGGTACCGCAATCTGGCCCGCGCCTCACCGCTGCCGCCGTCCGATTTTGAGAGAGACTTGTTCCCCGTGCCGATGATGGCTACGCCGGGCGGCTCCGCCCGTGGGCGCAGGTCTCAGCATAGGACTCACGCTCGGCAGGAATTGGTGAACCGCGCCCTCCGCAGCTTGAACTGGTTGGCTGGCTTCAAGGGCGCTGCCGCTTCACCGAGTCTGGGCGCGACGACCCTGGACAAGCATGCAGCCCTTCAGCAGCACTTGCTTCGTGAAGCTCATCGGCGACAGGCCGCAGCTCCGCAGGTGATGCCGAGGGCGGAGGCAGCCCTGAGGGAGCTGCTCCGGGGGCAGTCCGTGTACGAGACGGACTTGGCCCCAAGGAACCTCGTCTCCTACCTGCCCGGCAAGGTCTCGCTCCCCGACAGCGTGCTGGACTGCCGCTTCATCGAGGATATCGTGAGCCCTGGGTGCCGCTCGTTCTTGGAGGAGAACCACAAGCGTATGAGGTTGGAGCCGGAGTCAGTCAACTTCGACAGCATGCCGCGGCTATACATGGACCCGGTGCTGAAGAGGAACTCCAAATCCTACCGTACCTTTCTGCGAGATCTTGCTGGACGCGGACTTCTTGGTGTAACGGCTAGGCCCGCCGAGTCGGTGGGCTTGTTTTTCGTAGCTAAAACGAACGGGGCACAGCGTATGATAATTGATGCGAGGTGGAGCAACGGCCACTTCAGAGCTCCGCCAGGCGCGCAGCTTCTCAGCAGTGAGGGTTTCGGTCGGATCGAGATCGAGTTGCCGCCTGGTGTTCTGCCCTCGTCGGTTGAGGGGCAGCGGCTCCTGGATGCCTTCGCCGTCTACGTGGCCACCACCGACGTGAAGGACTGCTTCTACCGGATGCGCGTACGCGAGGACCTTGGCCGCTACTTCTGCCTGCCCGCCGTCCCCAAGTACGTGTTCGACGGCCTGCAGGTGACCGGCGTCCCGGCGGAGACCCCGCCAGACGCTCCCGTGCGGCCCTACTTGGCCGTGCTGCCCATGGGGTTCACGCGGTCGTTGTACCTGGCCCAGGCGGCGAATGAGGACAGGGCGTGCCGAAGCCCCAGCCTGTGCAAGGCGATGCCGGCTGGCAGGCAGCAGCCCTTGATTCAGGACCAGGCCGAGGCCTTCGTGCTTCGCGCCGCCTCGCGCGGGGTCGGGGGCGCCTACGTGCACGTGGACAACCTAGGCGCCGTGTCGGACGACGCCGATCTCAGTGAGAGGATGGTGTCAGAATGGAGCGATCTTTTCGAGCCGGTCGGGCTGGCGCTCCACAAGTCAGAGTCCCACGGGGGCGCTGGTGAGGCTCTCGGCACCGAGCTTGACGGCGTCCGCCTTCGCTCGGGGATCACCTCGAGCCAGTTTTGGAAGCTCGAGCGAGGCTCAACTGGCCCTCTCGCTCGGGGGCGTTGCAGCGGCCAGGCGCTTGAAAAAGTAATCGGGCATTGCACGTTTTGCGGCCTGGCGGCTCGTGAGTCCCTGTCTATCTTCCACACTGTCTATAAGTTCATTTCGGTTCAGTATCTCGACGTGGGCCCGATGTGGCCCGAAGTGGTCGAGGAGCTCGTAGCTTTTAGAGGGGTCCTTTTGCTTCTGGGCCGCGACTGGTGGCTGCCGTGGAACCCTTGCGTTTTAGAAACCGACGCCAGCCTAGCGGGCTGGGCGATGGCCCAAAGCTTCTGGGACCCAGCTCAGGTCGCCGGCGTCGGTCGCGTCAGCGAGCGCTCCCGTTTCGAGCGCGTCGGTGCTCACTCCGCTCGGGAATCCGCACTCACTTCCGCCCACCTCTTCCGTGACGAGTCAGGCGAGTGGAGAAGCCAGCTTCTAGGAGACGATCCTCTTTCAGACGACTGGGAGGTCGTTGCGGGTTTTCCCGAAGTCCCCTGGCAGCTCCTCCGGGGCTCGGCCTGGAAAACCGTCCGGAAGGGGGTTTGGGGCCTTAGCGAGGGCATTCTGGTGCTGGAGGCCCGGGTCTTGGTGAAGGCCATCCGTAGGCTCGCCAGGACCAGGCGCGGGTCTTGCATCAGACAACTTTTCTTGCGTGACAATATGGCCGTGGTCCTTGCTTTTGCCCGCTCGAGGAGTCAGGACTTCAAGCTTCTGGTCCAGATTCGACGCTTCAACGCCTACGCTCTTGCCCTTGGCATCGCCCCATATTTTAGATGGACCCCTTCGGAGTTTAACCAGAGCGATGCCGGGAGCCGCGATCACTCGGAAGTCTCGTCCAAATTGCTAACCGATGTCCTGGATCAGCAGGTTAGGATATCGCCCCCTTCTTCTCTCTCTGCTCTCCGTAGCCGTATTGGCTCAAACTATGTTCAGGCCTCCCTCGCTTCCGTGCCCGAGGAGTCTGTCCCGACGGATGTGCGCTCGGACGCAGCAGCCGACGTGGGCCCCAGTGCGGCCGATCTCTCCAGGGTCGCTACGTGTTCGGCCGAGGCCTGGCGCTCGCCCCCCGCCTTGCCCGAGTGCTCCGCTGGCGGCGAGGGCGAGGGCGAGAATGCTGACGGGGCCCCAGAGAGCGACGGAGGCACGTGGCCCCAGAGCCCGCCTCGACGTGCCGACGGGGGTCCACGGCGCCCGACCGGCCCGGACATGCTTGGAGCGCCGCCCTTGCCAGCTGCCGACGCCGCCTCCTGTGGCGCTCGAGGACCTCGCTCCCGCGGCCTCCGCTGGCGACGACGAGGCGGGCGCCGAGGGAGAGGGCGAGTCGAACGGGCCCGACAGCGCGGTGAACCATGCGACGGCGGCTTCGAGGAGATCTCGCCGCCTCCAGGACTCCCGGCGCCAACGCCAAGCGGCCCTCCACACGGACATGTTCACGCAGGCCGTTGTCGGGGGGCCCGCGTTGCTGGAGCGTCTGGCGGTGACTCGCCGGGCGAGGGAACGCTGCGCCAATTATCTCGATCGTTCTTACTCGCATGCCGACCCGACCAACGACGAGCTCATGAGGGGCACGAACCAGGCCGTGGACTGCTGGGCGTGCGACTACTTCAACGCGATGTACCTGTCCGAGGAGCAGAGCGGCCTGGAGGACCAGACTGGAACTGCCCCGGCGGGCCGGCGCCCAGCTTTCGACCAGCGGGGCGGGGGAGCCCCGCCGCGGACGTGGCGGGCGCTGGAGGCGTGGAGACGACGGGCGCCTCCGCGGACCCGCCAAGCACTGCCGTTCGCCGTGCAGTCGCCGGGGGTGTGGCTGCTGGCGGACAAGGGCCGCCCGCTCATGGCTCTGTTCTTAGCGGTGGGCCTCTCCGCCTGTTCCAGGTCCTCTTCTCTGGTGGCAGCTCTAA